GCTCCAGATGCTTTTGCTTTGACATTTAAAGACATGCTGTAACACACACCATTGCGAACAGCATCCGGAAGACTCTGAGCATTGATGCATGAATGCATGTCTGCAGATGGCTTTAAACTGATCTCAGACGTTTATTAGTTTCTTGTATGTGAGATGAAACCAAATCACTCTCTGCCTCGGCACTTCAATACACCCTGGTATCTACTACAAACAGCAAGAGAGGCGATACACTCACACACAAACACCACCACCTACACCATCCAATTAATCTCTGGGGAAAGAAAAGGAGGCTTATAATCAGTGCAGGGCAGAGAAAAAGCCGTGGCACAACATGCATGGTGGTAGCAGGCAGATAAGGCAGATAATTGCAGATACTTTATAGACAAGCGATGGGAGTGCTTTGTTCTTCTCCAGCATCTAGTTCCTATAAATCGAACTCAGACATAAATGATAAATAGCGGGGGGCCTGCAAGAAGTTTTGAACAGTGTAATAATGGGTGAAACTGCAAAGTTTGTCTGTGATTCAGAAGATGGGATCTGCCAGCCCTGTCATTTGTGCAGTTATCTCAGATTGATGTGAAACAATCTTTTAATCCTTTTCAAATCTCAGGCCACAGCAGAGAAAAACACCAGGTAGTGGCCTCAACTCTCACCCTTCTGCTACCATACATATCTTTGTATGAGGATTTTGTATAAAATTTAAATAAATGCCACATTACACACATTATATTCTTCACATTGGGAAAACCAATAACGCCATTCAAAACCTAACGGTAGGTCCAGACAGGAAAAATGACTTCTTGTTTGTCTTCCTTTGGATATTTTTGGCAGCACCTATCTTTTTCTCCCCCATGCCCCCTCCGCTTTATGACTTTGATTACATGTCTGACACATTTCTACCATCCCCAGCTTACAGGGTATTTGGAGAGTGAACCTTGATTTGTATAGGACTTTGTGATGGTGAGTGAATATCCTTAGGACAGCTGGATTGTACTGATAGGCCCTCTAGACTCAAGGAGAGTGAACAATGTGCGCAAAGGGGAGTGATTCATCCTCTAGTCCATTACCAGGACTGAAAAAGAAGGAGGAAAATAGGCATCCTGTGTGTGTGTGTGTGTGTGTGTGTGTGTGCGGTTGTGTGCACATATAGACTCACAAATAACCCAGTGCTTGTAGATGCGTGCGTTAAGGTTTCTGTCAGACGTGACATTCCTTCAGAGTGTTTGATCGACATTGAAAATGGAAGCCTGTCTTTCTCTCTCTCACTCTCCCTTTGCCAGCTTCCGTTCATCGCATTCTACCCCTCCTCTCTTGGGCTGAGAATTGCAAAATCAATAGAGCTAAATGGAGTTGCCGCGGAAGCCATTGAGTGTCCTCTCTAAGTGCTGGAAGAACAAGGACAGTAAGAAGCATCTGTGACACCCCACAGCCACCTCTTCTTCCTCTTACCACATTCCCCTTTTCAACAGTCTCTACTACTCTTGTCCTAATTATGCAGCGCAAGGCACTGGAGCAGCGCCTATTCTTAGTTCACCCTCTGCTTAGTCCATAAGTACTCTGAGATACAGAATAATCATTTCTAGCCTGCAGTACTAATATGTGTTCAACTGTATAACATGCAGTATAGTAGGTTAGGAAGTGCGAAAGAAAGACAGGTGGAAATAGGGCACAATATAGCAGCGATTACAGACATTACTTACTTTTATTATCTACTTTTGGAATTGAATTCAGCTGACTCGTATGTGCCACAGCACAAAGGTAAAAAGGCAGTTTTCTTGTATCTTCCGGTGAGCCTGCAAGTGCAATACTAAGTCCGTGAAACCATCTCATCTAGAAGAGATATAACTTAGAACTTGTTGGAAGCTATGTGGTGAACTTTATGGACCATCAACAGTAACAGTAATAGCCCCTTGTGCCAATAAAATCTGATAATGTACAATTAAGAGGAATGTCAGTGGATTTATTAATTATCGTGGTTCATTAACAGTCATTCATCCAAACCTGTAATAAATCTCTTTTTTTTTTGTTCTTTTTCTTTTGGGCCATTGGGGGCAGCGGAAATGAGTTGTAAACACAATAGAAATCAAAATCCCTTCAGCTTGAGTCATTTTGTTCAATTCAGTCAAAGAGTGACAGCACAGACGCTGGTTATGTAACGCATGAACTTTTCTTTCGAAGCCTTATTTTAAATGCACTTTAGTTGGTTCAGTTCAGGACAAGCAACCTGTCATTTGCAACCGAGCCTTCGGATTCTGATTGTTGCTGTGTTCTAATTTGCTTCTACAAAGAAATAAAACAAGGCCTTGTCAGTAAAATCTACTTATAGGCTAAAACCTACTGATTCTGCCAGTGACAATGCTCATTCAGGAAAGTTAGTTCAGTCTGAAATGTGTTGATAGATTTGAGATGAAACTAAACACATTTACGACACACAGCTGACACATCTTAACCTTTTGAAATCAATGCGGCCAGTCTTGACAGTTACACGTCCAGTATTTCGAATGCAACATTTTGTTATTAGTTTCAAATCTCCTAATTCAATATTCACTGCATCCCCTTAGTTAAACTCTGTTTTTGGTCTCTTCCTAAAACTGAAGGAAACATCAGGCTCCTAAAGATACTAAATGTCACTATGTTTACCAGCCAGCCTGCCACTGTGTCTGTCTGCTGTTAGCTTATTAAGAGCAGTAAGAGTGAACCAAAACAGGAAAGGTGCAGCCCATTCAGCTAAACAACGAACCGAAACAAACTACAATCCCCTGAAAATTTTAAGGGAGCAACACATCCAGGTAGTTATTTTCTGCAGGCTCATCACTACTTAAGGCTGCTTTCACATTTCTAAATTGTTTTCACACTGTTATTTGATGCATTATAAGTGGCATGTGCAAAAAATCCAAGTAGAGGGTTTGGATTTGTAGACGGCAGGAGCATTTCAAACACGCTGATGCTCACTTCTTCTTGGCATGAAATACTATTTGCTCCTCCAGGGCACAGATCAGGTTTTGATACCAGTTCTTTAGATTCACAGAGACGTGGCCTCTTTCTAAACTTACCATTTTGCGCAAATGTTTGACTAGAACACAGAATCAATTTTCAAGAGTTAGACATCATTTTCTTCTTTGCCAGTAATACAATCCAGCGGCAAGGCACATTTTCTCGACTTCTTCGAAACAGTTTAATTAACTAATGTGCTTCCTTTTCTACCTGCAGGCAAAACCAGTGGTTAAGTGCACGGTCAGTAATTTGATGAAGAAATTTAAAAAAAAAAAAAATCAGGAAGTAACAGAAATAAGCAGTACAAGAGAATCAGGACATGAGTAGTTTTTTTCCTTCACTGTTCATTTACGCCCTTCTCTTGTTAACCTCTAGTATTTCAGACCAGCTCCCATTCATATTTAATGAGAGTCTCTGCACAAGTGATTTGTACTGGTGAGTAACATCATCACAGATTCTCTTTGACTGCACTGCTTCCTACGAGGTCTTTTACAAGATCCAACTAAAGGGGCAAATGGGATCCCCACTATCCATGAACGATGTATGTGCGTAGCAGACAATGAGAGAGGACGAATAGGCAAAAGATAATAGGATTCTCAGAGAGAATGAGAACAAGCGAGGCGGAAATAAGGCTGTGTCTTGAGGTTGTTTGCTAAGAAAACTTAGCATTCTGCCACTCGGCTGCCCTTCTCTTTGTCACATCCACCTCCGTCGGCCTCAAGAGAAAAGAACAGTGGACTGAGGAAAACACTTTTCAATCTACCTTTGACCTGAACAAACAGTTACCTGGCTGGAAGGGGCACATGAGAAAAATACATTTTGTTGTACCTGTGACCTGCAAAAAACAACTATTTGGCTAGGAGGCACGAGCAGAGACAGTGTCCAGAAAGCACTGTGTTGTTCGTATACACGTACATAGTGATTACATACCTACTTACACACTCACACGAGATAGAATGTTTATTTATTACAACTTCCATATAAACCTGCAGATAAACATCCTAACCAAAAGTCATGTTTAGACACACAGACACAGACAGAAAAAGGCCAAATACAAATCTCTCATAATCTGCTTAGTGAGCAGAAACTCCTGAGAGCTTGCCATAATTATGAGACCTTTTCTAATAATTTCAGAATGAGGTGGATATATGCTGTATCCCAAGGGTAAACAATTAGATTAGATTTACATCTACCATCCATTATTATATTGAGCTGGGGGGAGTCTGTGGAAATGGGAGTTTCCCCTGCAAGAGAGTTCATTGGCTTATCATCAAAATTATTAGGACTCGGGGGATTTGATTTTTTCTTTTACAGTAGGATTTTCCCTACTTAGTGACTGCCTGCAGAGCTACGGTGACGAGACACTGGGAAGCCGGATGAGTCTCATTCAACCTTCCTGAGTAAAACCTTTAAACCTGCCAGCTCCACGGTCACAACTCTGACCCCGCACTACAAAGTCTTCAAGGGAAGGTGCAAAAGCAGATGTCACTTCAGGGACTGAAACTTTCCTTTTTTTTATCTTTCATAAAATACCTGCCAGCAGTGAATCTTATGCAACGCAAAGGTTATTGACAACACTACTGTGCACATCTGTGGGGTAGCTCCAGTGGGAAAAAAAACAGCAAAGCCACATGATGCAACTCCGTTCAATGCAAAGCTTCTCTGCAGGACTGAAACACAAAGCTTCAGTGCAAATTAGTTCAACAACTCTCCAGAAGCTTGACAGATAGACATCTGCTGCTGGGTGAGCTATTACCCATAACTAAACACACTTTCCACTTTTGGTCTACACTTCTCAGTGTGTAGGGTACTGGTGTCTTCTACTGTCTAATCTCCTGCAGCGAGCACAAGAAAGTGATGGAGGGCCTCTGGTAATTAGAATGGAAAGTCTCTCCCTTCACTACACAAATAACGATAGCCCTTCACCTGCTGTAGAAAATCCCCTTGAATCTATGATCACACTAAAATAGAACGCAGACGAGCCGACACACACATGCACTCCTCACCTGCTCCAGTTTCCAGTGGAACTCGGCAGGTCTAAAAGTGTCGACCTGAGTGAAATCTCTCCTGAGCAGGAACACCAGGCGGCAGTTGTGAACATACAGGGAGTAATGGTGGCGGTTCATCTCTGCAACAGGAAGATCACGACATGCGTGGTCAAACAAATGATATAGATATAGACATAATCATACACTATAGCACAGTGAATGTGGCACATCCTCATAAGGTTTTCTTATGGAAGTAATATGAAGATTTTATAGAAAATCCAAAAAGTGTCCTTAACTCGAGCTGTTTGAAAGACTAAAACTTTTTTAGCTACTTCAAATGGGTCCAGTCAGAATAATAGAAATGGTCAGTGAGTGTGGTCTTGGTGCATTCTGTTTGCATGAGTGTATTTTTGGACTATGGACACAATTTTATAGTGCGACACCAGTGTTTGCCTTTATGTGTTGTTTAGGGCTGATATGCGGAATCAACTTAAGTCTTGAAAAAATGGAAACATTTGTAAAACTGCAGTGCAAAACAAAGACAAGAACATTACTGAGAAAACATTGGATTGTTCTTTAAGAATGTCTACCAGAGGCTACTTATGAATTCTTAACCATTTCCCCTGGCAGTGAGTGATTTTTTATCATTTTTAGTTTACTGTCCCAAGATATCATTTACCAAATTCCATCCCAGTATGAATTTTAGATACATCTCTCCAACATAAATATACAATTTTTTTTTGGCTAAATACCAAAACAGTGTTGGATAAATATGAGTTTCACAACATTTTTAGGGAAATTTAAAGATCCCTTTAGGTAATAAAGCAAGCTTTACCTTGCCTACATGTCCATATGGTGTTTTCTATATTCACATACCATGAGCAAAATAAGACATCAGTGCCTTTAGCATTTCAGGGTTTCATGCATAACAAACCTAAGGAGGCAATCCTGTCAACTTCCAACTTTAATTTAGAGAGAGTTTATTGCTTATTCTGACATGGCTCATCAAGGTAATGGCACAAAAACTATTGCAATAGTGTTTTGGCTCATGCATACTGTGTATCACCTCCTAAAACCACCTCACATACTCAGAATAATGATGGATTTCAATATGTGACTATTTTATTGCCCAGTATTGCTAAGCTGGCCCTCACATCGAGTCTTTTGGCACCATTCACCTCCTTAAGCCAAAACTTTACAATTGAATAAAACTGTTTAAAAGATTCTGGTGGTCGAAAATGAACCACTCTGCAGTTTTCCATTACAAGATCAGACTACGCATTTCCTAAGCTAATAAGCCATCTGTGAGACAATTGTGAGTGCATGCAATGTGCAGATGGCTTGTTTAATTACACAGTTCAGGCAGCTCAGTTCAGACGTGCAGTGGGGAAAAAAGTTTTGAAGTGCTTTTGCCATTGTGGGTTTCAGTCTCAGCCTAATTATCTTGTTAGTTTGAAATGAGTTTGTGAACATGGTATGCTTATGGTATGTAAGTATGAGTGTTCATGAAAGGGCACTAGGGATCAGCGGTTTTCACTACTCCTAAAGTACAAATTATGCAAATATCTATAATGATTTTTTGTTTCACTTTCGAAATTTCCATCTAATTTGTGCAATTTTGAATCTCAACAGTGAGCATTATGTGGAATGACTTCCTCACCTGTCTTGTCAGAGTTGCACAGTAAGGTTTCCTTCTCAGCTCTGAGCCCTGGACTCGGCCCGTGTTTCATCCACGTTGCTACGGTGAACTGGTCCGTCAGGTTCTGGGGCACCACGTGATCTGGGACATTGGCGGCCTGACGTCCATCAAATTTGTAGATAAGGTCACTGTCTCTGCCACTGTCAGTCAGCAGAGACACTGTCCAGTTTGTGGAAAGGCTGGGGGCAGGAAGGAGGTCGGTACTGCCTGATGCTGCACCTGGATGTGTCAATCAGACGATGCAACGGTGTCAACGGGCTCCGCAGAGTCAGAAAAACTGCTCCTGGATGTCAGTATACATCAGCGAATGTTCATGAATGTGTAATATATTCGCTGTTATCTGAAATTCCTGAGCGTTTGTTATGTCACATAGTCATGCTTACTAACTGGGGATGCACGATATATCAATGACCACATTGGTACCGGTCCATATTTGGGTTTTTTCCCCATATATCAGTATCGGTCCGATGAACAAATTTAGTGAAAAAACAATGATTGTCTAACATTAGTGCCTTCATCTCTACATTTGATATTACTGCTATTTAACTGATGTTATTACTTAAATGGTCCTGGACTTGAACGTTAAATACTTTAAAATATGTTTAAATATGTTTTACTTTTGTTACGTACTAATGAAGACTATGTGGTGATATTTGGTACAAGCTTCTTCTGAACAATTTTCACGTTCTCACAGTGCTTACTTACACTCACTTTTCCGTGTGAACAAAAATTGAATATCGACGTCGATAATATCGGTTATCGGTGATATCAGAAATCTTAATATCAGATATCGATATCAGCCAGAAATTTTAATACTGTGCATCACTATTACCAACTAAATGTACTGATATGCAACTTATACGTTTACACTGTCAGTATGTGCCTTATACTCATTTCAAATAAGATCTGCTTGGACCCTGTAGATGTAAAGTTTTCTTTTACTTATACTTTTAAAAAAGCTGCAAGTTTCAAAAATCAAAAAATACTAAAAACACATAAACTTCTATTGTTACTAATGAGCAAATTAATTCAATCCGCCTTTACCCTTTTGGGCATTAATTAATAAAAGTATGATTCACAGGCTGTCAAGAGATTCACACATAATGTATATGTTCTGTTCCAGGCTATAAATGTGACTTTAATAATGTCACACACTATGAAATTCTGAAATGAAAATTAAATCTAAAATAATAATAAATAAAAGACTTCGGGATTAACTGGAAATTGGCTCACGAATAAACTAAGAGGGTTAAGATGTCAAGGGGTAATTTCTTCTTTGAATTAAAATTTTCCTTGTCTCTCATTATTATGACCACCCTTTGCACTCTCACAGCTTTCCATCACCTCGCTGTTTTAATAGAACATTTCTCATCCTCACTTCTAATAATACTAATTTCTCCTTTTTCTCTTTGTCTGTCACTTTACTTACCACAGAGCTTTTGCAGAGACTTTTCGGAGTACGTCTCCCGATCGCAGCCTTTCCCGATGTGGTTCGTCTGCAGCTCGACCATGGCCTTCACCCCAGACAACGGACCACCGCACGTTTCCAAATGCATCTTGGGAAAGAGCTGCTTGCTCCCAGTTCCTGGCTCATAGTCCACCCGCTTGTTCCAACCTGAAAGGATCAAAATTGTTGGAATAGTTTGCCTTTGAAGTTGAAATTACAGGTAATAGGATGTAAAACAAAACTGGAAATGTTTCATATGCCAGATTGTTTGATTCTAGTTATCTGAATGACTTTTTTGTTTTTATTACATAAGAAGTGAATCATACATCATGTTATTTGTACTGAACGTAAAATAGCCCCTCATGAGTGCTCCATTTCACTCTCACCTCTCAAAAATGTGATAGCTCTTGAACATTTTACAGTAGTACTTTCAGTAATCTGATCCTACAGAAACGCTGAGACACCAACGCATTTTGATTTCACTGAAGTGCGACAACAAAATTGTCTATTTCTACCCATCAACAGATTTATTTTTTTTGGTATAGCTGTCTCTTGCATGCCACTTCTTTTTCTAGACAAAATAAAACTTTATAGTCGACTGTAGGTAGGCTACAATGAGAACGTGGATGAAAAGAACGGCGAGCAACCACACATGTTGGCGACTGAAAAGCTTGGAGTTTGCTTGGTCGTATCCTGACCTGCGTCAAGTCAAGAGGGGCCACTGAAATGGCCAATAACATGTGAGGTCTCTGGGAAAAAAAAAAGAAAAGGTGCTGCTGTGCTTGTAACAGCCTGTTCCATTGCCAGGTGTTGTATTTTCATTACCAAGGTGTTATGCTTACACTCAATGTGTACTTGACAGACTGTATTGGGATTCACGACCCTGAATGTGTGAGAGTGTGTGTGTGGAGGGGTGAACACCTGGTAGCTCCTGCAAAGCCTGTACAATATGATATCAAGTCTCCCGAGACAAATCACAAAAAGAGAAACAGACTGTGATTAGGTAGGCGAGCAGAAGACAGAGGGGAGGTGGAGCCTCGATTAATGCCAAAGAGATTTCTTGAAAAAAAAAAAAAGCAGCTGCAGAGGCACAGCTGACCTTTACACGCAGACGATAAATAAGGTGATATGTGCAGAGGGCTTGGTTTGAAAGCATCATTGCATTATGTTTTATTCATCGCTGTGGCTTAATGGTTTTACATAAAGCTGCACATGGGTTGGTGCTTTTCCAGTACAGCCTCTTTAAAAAGCCAAATAAAAGAATAAAGCAGCATTGATGAGGATGTTAGCAGGATACGAGAGCAAGTCAGATTCAAATGCAGTGACTTGATATCACTGTGACACCATCTGGAACGCAAAAACCATTGTGGAAATTTTTCTCTGCTAGCAATTAGAAGAGCTTTCAAGATGTTATTTCTGTCAGAGGTTTCATGTTTCTGTAAATCAGTATGTTTTGGATCAAAAACAGCACACGCCCTTCTGTTCCTAAACGATTTCTCTTTATTTCTATTACATTAAACTCTACAACATGAGGATGACCTTTAGATAAAAGCAGTATGCCATTTAACTGTCAGAGTGTATTGCTCTCTCTGTCAGTACGTTGACTCTACAGTGATGCGCTGACAGATATGTCCCTCAGTGAATGTTCCTAAAGCCTGAATGGTTTGGATTACTGTCATTTTTACTATGTGATTTCTTTGTACTAATGGGTCTTGTGTATAATGTCATTCCCAGTAAAGCTTGGTCGTCTGGGATGTTTCATACTACTTTATTTCATCTTATTATAGCCTACAGGATGCCATTAGGCAGGAAGGCGGATATCTGTGTATGTGACTATATATTTGTGGTGGATTGATACATATACATAGGGGTCCATCTGTCCATTTTTACATCATAAAATATGGATATTTGTAAAGATACTTATCTAATTTTAAATAAATATATTAAATACTTGGGCTGCAAGGTGGCTCGGTGGTTAGCACCGTTGCCTCGCAGCAAGAATTTTGCCGCTTCACGTCCCGGTGGGGACACCTGGGATCTTTCTGCGTGGAGTTTGCATGTTCTCCCCGTGCAGTGTGGGTTCTCTCCGGGTTCTCCAGCTTCCTCCCACAGTCCAAAAACATGTTGAGGTTAATTGGTGATTCTAAATTGTCCGTAGGTGTGAATGTGGGTGTGCTTGATTGTCTGTCGCTAAGTGTAGCCCTGTGATAGACTGGATGGACTGGATAGACTGGACTAGTGACTCTAGCGCCCCTGCGACCCTAGTGAGGATTAAGCAGTGTATAGATGATGGATGGATGGATGGATGGATGGATGGATATTAAATACTTTTCAAGATCTTTGTTGTTTTTTTTTTTAAGTAAGAATTTAACCATCAACCTACTTCTAGCATGAAATTTCATGCTATGTTTAAAAAACAGTATCTATGGAAATAAAATAATCACTGATTACGAGTGAGTTACAATATGAAAAAAATGCCATAGAACTGCTCTGCTTGAATGACACTATCTACCATTATTTTTGTGTTTGTAGTACCGTCTGTCATACCTGCTCAAACAGCTATGTATGTTTTTATTTTTAAGTATTTTACATGAAAAAAGTATTCTATATGTTTTGTTTTGTGTTATTGCGACATGCAACTACACACAGTTCATGAATGTTTTTGTTAATGCGTGTTTAAAAAAAAGCGACTTTTTATGAGCGCCTCATTAAAAAAAAAAAAAAAATTCTTTTTTACTCACTCACAATCAGAAGTTATTTGTTCTACTTGACTAATGTTTCAGATCCTGGATCAGATATCATCATTTACAAACAGCCTCAAATTTCAATGCGCAAAAAAACCTGCTTAAAGTGGGTCGACAGGCACTTTAAAAAAAAAACTCTCACAAAGGACTTGATATATCATTAAAAAACTTCATTTCACAGATACCATTTAACTATCAGATGGTCGAGCAGAAGGCCCCTGATGATTTGAGATGATGAATTACTCATGAATAAAAATGGACGTAAAAGCTTTTGTGCGTTTAAGTGAGCGCACTTCCAGGTTTTGCAAACAAATGTATGATCTCAAACTACTTTCTAACTCCAGGTTACAGCTTTATTTAAAAAACATTTCGTTCCTATACTTAGGGCAGTGTTGCTTTAAATTAGATGAAGTGCCACAACCACATTTGGAAACTTCCCCGGGTTGGATTAAATTGTATTTCTACTGAGTGGTTGAGGTAACTCCAAGATCTGTAGTCATCAGATGGACAAGAGCCTGATTTCCACCAGGAATCAAACTGCTCCAGTTTTATTTACTTTCTAAAACATTCTTTCTGTCCAGCTGTCATTTTTTTGGACGAGGGACTAGAACAGCAAAATATTGATGCGCTGGTCCTGTTTGCTTTCAGTTGTTTCTGCACACTCAGCAATAACGCTTTGCTTACATTTGAGAATCAGGCTTCCTTTGCCTCCTGTTTCTAACTCAGGCTATAAAGATGCTACTGCACCTGATACGTGGAAGCTTATACCTGCAGCCTGAGGTGATGACTTCTAGCAAGAGTAAGGGCTGGAAATATTTATTTGCTCTCTTCTGCACTTAAAAAAAATCAAAAATCAAAAAACTAAACAATTAATATTTTTGTTTATAGACAATATTCAATTAAAATATGCAAAATGATACGGAACCATCTGAACTAATGCAGAAAAAACGCTATGAAGCTTCAACAATAAGGCAGTCATGGACATTGTTCTATGTGTTAAGATGCATTTATAATATTTATCACAAAGCATTAACACATTTCAGGTCCTACTGATCGACTTCATAATAATTTTTACAGATTTTACAACATGAATAGAAATAAAATTCAGAGATTTAAATCTTCTTTTCCTTTTCATTTTGATAGAAGCAATGTTGTTGGTTTGAAGGAAAGACACTGATGATGAACTGCAGCGTTTCTTTGTTGCATCTCTCTCCTCTTTATTTCCTGTCTCTGCTGCACTTACCGTGATGAAGGCTTCAAAATGTCCTAAAAATACTTTAGAAAGCGGTGCGATGAAATAATTTTCAGTGTATTTAGAAAATGGCAAATAATCTGGTTAGTTCATAAATAAGAGCCGTTGATTCGCCTTTTACCTCTAAAAGAATACGAATCTGACAGGAATGGATTTAACCTGTTAAAGGGATGTGGTCACGGATATGAAACAGCACCACTCACTCTGATGTAGGAGATCAAGTGTTTCCCTAACAACTGCATAGTAAGATGTATACTGACCAGGTCGTTTATCTCCACCTACATCTGAGATCTTATAAGGCTGGAAGAATAAACATCACCTCTTTCCTTCACTATAACTTAGTTTCTTTCTCTTTTTCCTCCCTCGAGTTGCCTGTTCCTTCGACCTCTTTCTTTATCGCCCCCCCCTTCTTCCCTCTCTCGTCTTATCTTTCTCTGTCTTCCTCTTTCATTCCTGTGTGAGCCTGACTCCTGAGATGCTGTCAGAGCTGACAGGTGAAGCAGCAGGGGAGACGGGCTGACTCGAATGCCAAGCTGCTGGCATGTTAAAGGAGGAAAACACACACACACACACACACACTCCAGTCAACTTTCCCTCTGGAGGTTTTTGTCAGGTCTTCTGATTTCCTCGAGAGACGCTCATTCTAAAATGAGATAGAATTCCCTCGAGGAAGGGTATGCCCACAAACTGCACTGAATTGCCTGCTTCAGGTTTGATAGCTTTGCTTACTATTTAAGTACATTTAAGCAACGTGTACATGCAATTTATACCAACACAGAAAAAAGTCCGTTTCTGTCACTTACTGTTAGGCAAATTAAGGCATTGTGCACACCATTTAGCAGCTGGTTCTTTATCTCTAACCTTGCCACCCAGGCTTGCAGACAGGCTTGACTTCAATATGGACGGCCACATCCTCCTTCGCTCTCTTCTGACCACAGTCGAAGGCAGTCACCATAATCTTGTAGCTCTGCTGTTTGTCATAGCTCAGCCTCTCTGTGTTTCTGATGTTACCTAAAGGAAACGAAAACACAGCAAATATAATTATGATTATTCGCCAAGAGAGAAAAATAAACCCCTCTGCTTATTTCGCAATAATATATAAATAATAACAAAACACTTTCCACTGAGCGGTAATTGAAACTGACTTAATGATAAAGAAACTGCTCCTTAAAACCAAAACAAAACCAAAAAAAAAAAATAAATAAAAGAAGGAAAGCTCTTTGTACTTATTGGAGCTTCATGCTGAAAACTCAAGGTCCAGTAACCTTGTACTGCATTTGAATATAAAAGCCTGTCTGTAAACAGTCAATGTAAAACTGCAATGATGGATTATCTTCATCTGTCACCAGGGTAACAGTGGGAGAACAGCATGAGATGGAGGAGATGCTACAGGCCTGTGGATTTCACAAACGTGCCCCGGATACTACCTCGAGGCAAGGTTACATAAACTGATAATATAATTTTATAACACTGCCAGCTAACTTTAAATAAATCCATCATTAGCATTTATTTTCACTGTCATTTACTAAACACAATTTTGACATTCGTAGACCAGCTCCAGATTAATCAGCGTCATTAGCCGTTTGAACACGTTACATTTGTGTTTTCTATTATTTAGTTGTCCGTGAATGTTTATTGTTCACTGCTTGTCAGGAATCCTTTCTCCCAGAGTGAAAAAGTATTTTATATTAAATTGTATTTTTCTATTTTCTATTCCTTTCTACTAGTAGCGTAACAGACCATACAGATCCCAGCCCACGGTTCAGCATACAAGTGAGCTGCAGATTAATTGCAAAGTTTAACCCTCATAGCATGAAATACAGTTTTATGGCTGCTGTTACTTTCTACAGTAACTACAAGTGTACTGGGAGATCATAGTCCTCCAACAATGAAAATGCGTTTTTACACACTTCTTACAGAAAAAAAGATGGACAAACAAATAGCAATGAAAATATACAAGGAATATCTCAAATTTCATGGACAAGATACAAAGCAAGATATACGATACAGTCATGACACTATCTGTTATCTGTTTTGTTTTTGCTAGTTGATCTGGATGCTAGTTGATCTAAAATGGGTGGCTGTGGCTCAGGTGGTAGAGCGGGTGGTCCTCTAATTGGAAGGTTGGCGGTTAGATCCCCCGTCCCTCCACAGTCGAAGTGTCCTTGGGCAAGACACTGAACCTGAAGTTGCTCCCAATGGCAGGCAGCCTGTCGCCCTTGGTATATGAATGTGATCTACTCTCGGATGTACGTCGCTTTGGATAAAAGCGTCTGCTAAATGAAATTGTAAATTATCGTGATTGAATCTGAGACTCCAGAGCCGTGTTGTGATTCGAAATGTGAGTTTTGTGGTCTGTTGTTCAGCTGCTCTCTATCAGTATCTTGCAATGTCTGTATCCGTTTTGGTTTGTGTGACTATGTTATCATCTAAGAGTTGAGGAAAACTGAGATCCACAGATTCTAACTGCTACAAGTAAGGTGTTGCTTAAACTGAGGAAAAACAAAAATAAAATATCCTAAATGCATAAATAAATGGCAGAGGAAGAAAATGCAAAAACCTTGTTGGGTTTATGTGCAACCAAAAGACAAAAGACTTAAATGAACAGCTACTTTAGTTTTTCTGTGTTGTTATGGCAGTCACAGACTGTGTCCAACTCTACAAGGACAAGCGAAACTATTTCTGTCGTTTGCATCTGGAGGCCTGGCTGTATGAAAGGCTGTCACTCTGCTGTCGGAGAAGAGAAGGAAATCAGTTCAGAGCACGGCAGTACAGAAAAAAAGAGCTGAGTTGAACTGTCAGAGGAACAAAGGCGAGGAGGTCAGAGGCAGACAGTTTCTACAAAAATCTCCTACAGTGACTGTTTGATCTGCAGCTGGTGTGAACAGTAACAGGAAAGGTATCGGATATCAACCATTTGCCAGTTATCCAACAACAGGTAGAATCTGAGGTTAAAATTCAATTTGTCAGGACATTTTCACTTCTTGGCTTATTAGCAGGAAACCTCTAACATCAGCCTCTCTAGATATAAGACACCCCACTGATTTAGGATTTGTTTTTATCTCTTAATAGGTAAAGGGACACGTCCCCAATTTTATACAAGTTCTCCAATTGTATAATGTCCTGTATGATGTCATTTGGGTGATACAGGCTTAAAAACAAAGTCTGTTTCATAAACTAAAGATGTGGGGTTTAAAAGAAGTGGACATCTAGGAAACAGGGAGGTCTAATAAAAGATGAATGGTATAACAGATACTGTGGGATCCAACATTTTGGAGCTTGACCCACAAGCATGTCTTGACCTTTGCTGCACTGACTTCAACCATTATTTTTTTTCTATGAGTCTTTTGAGAGTCTCCCATCTTTATGGAACTCCAAAACCTGCCAGCGGGTTTAATGGCATGTTATCTTTGGTTTTGTTTTTTTTAAAGCCCCACAAATTATGCCATTTATCAGAGCCAGAATCTGTAAAACAGAAAGAATAGTCAGATTTTCAACTTTCAAGTCCTTGAACTACTTAACTGTGATGTGCCATTCAGTCAGAAAACGTTTCGAATTTTCTTTGGAATTTATAAAATTTCACATTATCCTATCAAAGCTTAAAATCAGAATATTTATTTAAATAAAACGTTATAATGCGTGTGCCATTTAAAAATTTGCCAAAACTAAACCATTTGCACTAACCAGACTGTAAAACACTAAAATTTATTTTCTCCTCGACACAATCGAGAAAGCCTTTAGTGACTGAGCTGCCATGAACAATCCTGTGACAAAAATAGATAGTTTTCAGCTGAACTTGGCTGAGCTTTGGCTGTGCCTATGCATGGAAAGAAATTACAAATGTCAGTAGTAGAATGTCTATAGCAAGGGTGTCCAATCCTGGTCCTCGAGGGCCACAGTCCTGCATGTTTTAGATGTGTCCCTCTTCCAACATACCTGATTTAAATGATCAGGATCGTTATCAGGCTTCTGCAGAGCTTGATGATGAGCTGATCATTTGAATCAGGTGTGTTGGAAGAGGGAAACATCTAAAACATGCAGGACTGTGGCCCTCGAGGACCAGGATTGGACACCCCTGGTCTACAGTGTGTAGAGTCAACATTAATTCCCAGTATGGGTAACAATCTGTGGGCACTTTGAAAAAATGTTGTACCACTCTGGGTGCTTTCAGTTTTTCTGAGGTGAATGATGTTAAGAAGAAGGTTTGTATGATTTATGGTGATACATCTTTGTTATGCTTCACAAATGACAGTTTTGAGTTGTCTGTTTCTACAGAGGTGCAGGACTTTTATTGTGGTGAGAGATGTGACGGGAGCAAAAAGAAACTGCCCAGAAACTGCTTCGGGTTCAGAGGATAAATACATTGCTGGAATACCATTTAAAGCTTTGTGTGAGACATAACATACCTCTGTTGAGTGATATATTCTGTTCTATACTACATCTAACAGCATTCTTGCAAGTGAGAACGTGACAACAGTCCTTTATACAGAGAGAGGATGAGCTCAGACGAACTGATGCTGCATCCCAGCTCCATACTAACTGTTTATACTATGTGCTATCTTTTTATTCCACTATACTATCAACTACTGATCATCAGCAAAATTGCTTAGACTAATAGGAAATAATACAATACGTGGCACTGAATTGCAACTTTGCAATGTTTCAAACTAACATTTAACTATCAACACATTTTACCAACCTACTCAAACCCTGACTAGAATTAATATGGATTTGGGACACAGAGACAATTAAACACAGTGAGACAACTCACCTAATCTCAGAAAAGACTGCTTACAGGAAGCAAACTACTTTTCCTCACATCTCAAAAGGATAACACAGAAAGATATTTACAAAAGTGCAGTTAATGAAGTCTATCTGGGTCAGTCACTACAGTCTTAACAAGGTATTCATTAAATGATGTTCCAAAAATATGACCTGCTCAGGGGAACCAGTGCTCACATTACCCTCCTTGTGGTAAATATGAGGCGTGTATATGAGAATAAATATCCTGCTTGGTGTTCTGAATCGCAGGTGTGTCTAGACAGGCTGAAAAATCTGCTGCAAATTATACCACTGTCAGCGAATGAAAGGGAATAAAAAGCTAATCTTTCTCATTTTTATCAATACATAGCATACAGATGACTCTAAAGTAACTTAAAGCAAGTTGAATGTGAATCAAACAGTTCAGAGTGTTGTGTAATTAATTCACAGCAAAAGGATATTCTGTTCTGAAGAACTCATTTTGACTGTAAACGCAGTCGTCTGAGCTCTGAATCGTGTATTTCTAGTTGACTGTAAACTTATTTATCTAATCATAAACAGGAAGGTTTCAGAATCAAATTGACCTTTGTTCTGTTTCAATTTGCTGTTTTAAAACAACAGTTAATTCCACATAAGACAGCAGTTATATATATGATATATATTCTATATCTGTTCTTGTATGTCTCTCAGCGCACAAAATTACCATTGTTCTATAATGCAAGTTTATTTAATATGTTGAGTCTCAAAGTTACTTCCAAACAATATTATTGTGTCTCGGAGGAGATCAAATCGAATGAGCCAGACTACAGTAAAATACTGTGGGAGAAAGACCAGGAGGTTAAAATCAAAAAGCAATGAGACAAAATAATAAATATGACCCTGAGAGAGGCAAAGAAAACGGCATGTGCTTCTGTCTGATCTAACACAGAGACACCCTTCAGTCTCCCCTCAGTTTGGATTACTCTGCGCTCACATTGCATATTGTGTAGGCTCAGGGAGAAGGCAACGCAAATCTCAAAGATGAAATTTCATATGGGCAGATGTACTCAGAATATCACTTAATCAAAAATAAGATACAGCACTTCAGTCAACTAGGGCAGGCGACAAGCCACAAATTAAAATTAAAGAAGAATCTGTCAAGCTGAAGGTTGAACTATGGACTAATGAAAAGCTGCTTCATGGCTCACAACAATATTGCAATAAAAAGGAATCATTCACAGCTGTCTGCTTGCTTTTTTCCTGCTCATACTATACTCACATTTACCGTGCATATCCGCAGAAAGACGACTTGCGCCGTCCCAATATCCCGCCACGTACAAACAAGCACATCTGACGTTGTTACTGCAAATCCTCAATAGTATTATTCCTCCACACAAAGTTGGTTTCCAGCGACTCTTCCATGATTTATTTCTAAGTCGTCCGAGTCCTCGCGGGTTTTCTCATGTCTGTCTTTAGTGGAAAACTTATTCATGCTCACACAAAGTTCAAATGGCTGAGATCATAGGAAGAACATGTGCAGCCGAGGAATGGCTTTTTCCTTTCATCAAGACATCAACCATTCTGTTTGTGCTCAAGTGAGGCAAGAATGCCACTGCTATTAAAATGCAGACTATTTAGTGTATTAGAAATGTACCCAAGAAATGCGTCCCAAGGAAGACTGAACATAGTTTCAACGCAAATCGCTCAGTAAGTGATTCTACTGCAGATATAACCGAAGCACAGGATCTTGATTGTGACAGCTAAAGTCACGAACACGCTGCTTTTACTGGTAAAATATGCTACATTTTTCATGTTTCAGTGCAGAGAGCAAACTCCATTTTCTAGACGTTTCTTATGTCTTTCACCAGAAGGACATCTCATCAATTTGTCTTCAAAGCTGAGAATTACAGTTCGTTCTCAGCCTTGGAAAACAGCAGCTCAATACAATCTTACACCAGGGTACATTTATTAGCTAGTCTGGTTCAGTTTTGCTTTGTTGAGTAACCGAAAAAAGTCGAATTCAATGTGTTTGGAATATGTGACGATGACTTAATGTAGTGGCTAAAAGCGACACGCAGTAAATTCCTAAAAAGCCAATTATGTTCATCTAACAGTTCTGGTGTCTAATTGTGATAACATGAATCACTGTTAAGAAGAAGGAATTGTCGGTAGTGGTTTAGCTTTTTAATGTACAGAAGAACTGATACTCAACTGCTCATGGTTCACAGTTTTGTGTTTGAATAATCACTATTCAAAGTGATTACATCCTCATGAATCAAGGCTTCAAGCACACAAAATGTTTGTGAGCTCTGCCATTCTAGGCTCTCCGTCTCAGACACACACATCACTCCTCATCACATCACCGTCCAGTCAGGCTACAACCCGCGTACTTGCACGCGACACTCACCGTTGCGATCTATGGCAAACGGCGTCCCTGAAGTGACGATTTCGTAGTTGCAGATCTGACTGTACTGTGGTGAGCAGTCCTGGTCCCAGGCTTCCACCTGCAACGAGCAACATCCACGTTCCTTCAACAGTTCAACAGCTAGCATTAAAATTAAAATGACAGTAGCTTTAACTTTTAGCCTGAAAAAGTCCTTTTGGTGTTGCTAAACCACATTAATTCATCTTTCATGTTTCTGATTAAACCCCTAAAAACTCATCTTTAGTAACCCCTTCATGTCCTTAACACAGCTTAAATCTAACGCTTAACATTTGCCTGCTTTAGTTTTCATGCATCTAGTATCCCTGCCTCTCTCTCCACCCACACCTCTCTACTTGCCGCAGCTCGAGCACACCAGCTCACCTACAATTCTGCTCAAATACCACATACTGGCAAGTTTTAATTTTGTATTTCAATTACACATGTTGTAACCAGAAAGTCTGAGAAATACAAGTTCACAGACAGTCGGTTCCTTAGATTTGATGAAATCAGATTTTGTGTGAAATCATCAGTTTTTAAGGCGAAAATGCTCAGCCATGAAAGACTGCGTATTTCACTTATTATGTCTCTTCTAGCAAATAAAAACCACTATATGGACACGTTAACCACGATAAAGCAGGTCTTTAACAATAAAATATAACAGGATTAACTGAAGAAACACAGACTACTTTAAATACCTGTAAAATGCTGTCATAGATTTTCCCTTCTGTTACTGAGGCCTTGTACAGCGACTCCCGAAACACGGGGCAGAACTCATTGACGTCATCCACCTGGATATGAACCACCGCCCTGCGAGGAGGAAGAAGTGAAACAAGGAAGGTGGAGCAAAGGAGCACAGTGTGGGGGAAAGGACACAAATATGCAAAGATGGTGGAATGGAAATGATTGATGGAGAAAAGGAAATGTAAGGATACAGGAAGAGGAGAGAAGAGAGAGGGAGACATCTTTTCTAAGTCATTGGTAATAACTGAAATGAAATAAGACTGAAACAGTATGGCCAGTAGAAGGCAGAGCTACTTATGGGGAAATGGATTTATTCCAGAAATGCAGGACTGAAGAGTTGGTTAAAAGGTTAAAAACACAGAGCTTCTTGTTTATTGGTCTTTCTCTGTGAAATGGATTTTCATTGAACGTTTATTTAACAGGCTTGTCTGGTGGTACAGACTCTCCCACAGCAAATCTTGCAAAGCTACCTTGTTTTTCAAGCTTCTAATTTCTCTCACTGCCTGTTTTTTTTTCCTTCTTCTTCTTGTTTTCCTACCTTCTACTCTATGCCAAAACACACATAAACACAAAATCTCATCTTCTGGAAGACATTACCTCGGCACTCTGATAACATTTGTGCACTAAAGTATATAAATGAAGCAATAATGTAGATGCATCATGAAGTTTTCTTCACCGGTGACCTTCGCTGACAACAACTCGCAGTCTATCTGAGGAAGCACATCTGGCTAATTAATGACATTAGCTTAATGAGGCCTATTTAGAATGTCATGCCGTGATAACGTCTCTCACACACACACACACACACACACACACAAATATGCACACACACTCGCACACCGCGTGTCATTCATCTTCCGCTAAAGAAATTCATCACAGATCCCTGAGCTGATAAAATTCTCTCTCTCTGTCTTGTTCGTTTCCCTTTTGGTACCAAGCAGCAGCTTATTTTAGCAGCGTCTTGTCTCTGACTGAAGGACCAGTGGGTTTGATTTGCTGCTGTCCATGCCAGTCTGCCCGTCTGTCAATCTAAATACATCGCACTGTCACACACACATGCAGACACACGGTGTATTGATGAGCCATTAGGAGGACATCCTCAGACAGATCTGCAAGTGTCAGCTGTCACTGCTGCAGCACAGATGAATGAAAGAAAATAAAAAAAAGGAGAAAGAAAATAGAAACAGCGAAGACCAGATCTATTTATAGTTGTTTTTCTGTATAGCTTGGAGTTATTAGTTCAACTTATGAAGGTATTTTTATAATAAAAACCACAAAATCATGTCGGTATTTTTTCTTACTAATTTAAAGTTAAGGAAGAAAACAATAATGCACATTCAAATGTATGCACCTAAAGATAAAAAACATGTACAACTACAAATTCATGTGTCAGTTTGTGTGTTTCTAATATATTCTGGGTTTAAGTACCAAAACTACTTGGCTAGGATCGTAGTTTGAATTTAAATGAACACTTTGTGAAAGTACCAAACGCCTCTGTTAAGCAACAACCCTTTTCTCTCTTTTGCCTGAAAACAAGCGGCACCAGCACCGAACATTTGACTATGATGTCATTGTGTCTGTTTCTGACATTTAAGAAGTCCGTCACACAAGCCTCCACACTGGCACAATGACAGAATTAAGATAAACTTTTAACAGCAATACTTTCAGATACAGCCAGGCCTAAACTGTTGGTGACAAAGTACATAAAGCTACTGGGACTATTTCCTCTATTTTTCTGATATTTAGCGATGATGCAGTTTGTTGATAAATTGAGAAAATAATCAGTAGCTTAATCGTTAATGGAAATAGTTGCAATATTTGTGCAGTCAAAACACGTTGTGTGATGTATTCTTCATCAACACATGATCATACACTGCTTGACTTACTTGTGGGATTTCTTCCAGTCCGCCCCACTGGGCCCGGCTCCACAGTCGTAGGCCTGGATAATAAATGTGTACTCTTTCTGGCTCTCACAGTCCACAGGGCTGCTGGCCCTCAGGACTCCTTCTCCTGATGTGCGGTTCAACACCACAGCCTCAAATGGAGCATCCTGACCGTAGATCTTAAAGGCACAAATCTCCCCTAAAAAGCAAGAAAGAAAGCAAGAAAGAAAGAAAGAAAGAAAGAAAGAAAGAGAAGAAAGAAAGAAAGAAAAGGAGGTAACGTTTACAGTTACAGCGACACAGCAAACATAGAAACTGTACATTGTAATAGAATTCACTTGAGTGATTACGTAAAAGTCATGTCATGAGTTGTGAAAATGTAAAACTAGTTGAGCTAAATTAACAAGTTCAACAAACTTAAAGTTGAGATAAGGACAATAGTTACCGACAGGCTTACTTTCCTTTTACATTTTCTAATTTTCAGGAGTTTCAGCTGTTGAAACCACATTTTAACCAAAGTCAGTACAAAGATATGAAGCTGCTCCTGGTTGCAGTGAGATAAATTGTTAGCAATAACACAGACACACACACATAGAGGTTTCCAACATGTCTGTGTGGTGCTTCAGGGAGTATTTTCTGTTTGTAGGAGGGCCAGTGCGCAAAAATGTGCAGTGAGCTGAAGAAGGTGCAATTTATAAGAATGTGTGATCAAAATCTATTCTGTTCATTTTTGTCATATTTCTTTTTTTTTTTTTTTTTTTTTTTTTTTTAGCAAGAAGCAAAGTAAAGCCAAGACTGATAAACAAAGACAGTATGTTTTGTCAAAAAGAAAAGGAGAGATAAAAATCAAGTGAACATTAAAAGAGCCACTTCTGAAAATGTTTTTTCAGGAGAAAAGTAATTTAACACTTGGATGGCTAAATTCTCCACTCCTTCCATCACCACGGTGAAAAAGAGAAATGAACCATGTGAGTTCTGAAGACGAAAACACAGAATGATAGAAAACATCAGAGACATAATGGGCTTCAACATGTCTGTTTCCCGGCAGAGTGAAAATTTTGCTCAGCATGTGGCTCATCAGCAGGCAGATATGGAGGACTCTAATATGGAAGCAGTCAGAACAACATGGAAGTCTGAGCATTCACTTAATTTCAGGTCGACACTGTGTGAATAAACAAATTATGAGAAAAAAAAAAACTCCAGCAAGGGAAAACATTTCCAATAACTAGATTTTTTCCCATTCATTTAATTTTCTCTCATGACACTGCTAGTCAAATCACATTACTTTGCTTCATTTTTTTTCCTCCAGTCATTTCCTCAAACCTAGCAGAAGCTACCAAGCGGCTCAAATAGCTAAAGATGAATTAAAGTGTGGGCAGTGAAGTAAAAACTAACAATACACACTGCTGGCATTTTCTTTACAATACAGCTATCACTTTAAATTTCAGCTGATGGCCCATTTCTGGACACAGAGAGCTGCATGAGCTGCTAACAAACACACAGTGTACGGCCCCTCGGGTGTAGTTAAGACAAAAATAATTTCTGATATGTGTCAAACTGTGCCAACTCAACAAAAGATGAAATTCGTCCACTCCACAGAGTGTTCCATCATACCGGCTGAGTGTGTTGCTGTGCGTGTGCAGACACTGTTGTGACTCCAGAATCGTCTTTGGAGTTCATCCTCTACACAAGTGTTCATTTCAGGGATTTGGGAAATCTCCTTGCAGAGGGAACAAAGAGCTGCAGTGCTCTGACCCTGTTCGAGCTCATATCTCTCAGAACATTGTGGGACACAGCGGAAACAAAAAGCGGCCTAGCCATGGGAATTCTGCTTGAATGCTCAACCCATAATGACAAATATAAAGTCAAAGTTCCCCCTCACCACTTTTGTTCCCTCTATCTTCATACCCCACTCTCATGAGCACAGTATTTTTTTTTTCCATTTATTTTCTTCCTCTGACCTCCTTTGAACCTGATTCAACTTTCCAAATCCTCTTTTTGGGGGAAGAATGGTGAAAGACGCTGCCAAACAAAGTGGGCTCCAAGGTTTGATCCACAGTCAATTTTCAAGATGCCTGGTCCGTGTATTATCCCGCTTTGAGGTTTTACAGAAATGAAAAGGTCCCTGATACGGGTGTCAGATGCAATATGTATGTACAGACAAATAATAAACACAGCAGGTGGTTTGGGAGAAGGGTGATAAGCAAGGCCCAGATCCTGCCTGCACATGCACACGTTCATACACTCCGTCAGTAAATATTGTCTCAGATGAGACCAAACAGAGTGATTGTAATTGACTGCTGCAGCCTTTATGCATAAACCTTGACTTAGTGGCGGGAAGCAGGACGAGGTACTTCCACTTAACAGTTTTGGAGTTGGATGCAAATCCATTTTCCACTCCATCTGTCGTGGCCAATGCATTTTTCTGGATTCCATTTTACATGAGAACACAACAGAGTCATGGAGTAGAGGAACAAGAGAGAGAGAGAGAGATGAGGAGGAATGTAATGTGGCAATGTATATGTAAATATTAATGACAGAGATTTCAGTCAGATTCCTACAATGTCAGCAAATGCATACTTCAGACACATACATGCCCGGACACACACACACAATGTACACACTTCATTTCCTGCCGCTTAGTTTTCTCCTCACCAGCCTCACCAGAGGGAACGCTATAATTTCACCTCACCGTGGTGCACGGATGAAATGAAGTCTAATCTTTTGGCCTATACGTCATGAGGGAAAAGGCTCACTTCTCAAAGTAAATATCAAAAGGCATAGATTTTTGCTTTGGGGAGCTGGCGTGTTGCCACGGCAGATTGGGAGTAAAGCGGAAGAGTCAGCAAAAAATGGCTCGATAATAGCAATCATCTAAAATAGATGGTACTCCACAGAAGCTTGAGCAGCATAAACTCCATCGACAGAAAATGTCAAGCTGTCAGGGAACATGTATTTCACAGGATGTTAAATTGCCAATATAATGGAAAAGGACAAGTTGGATACAATTAATGAGAAAATGATTCTCCACAAGCTCACACGTCGTCACAGGAAGCCAAAACAAATTTGTGTATTCCTACTGTAAGTAACAGGGATGGATAGAACACTTAATAAAAAAGTTTTATTTGTTAAACTTTACATTTTGTTATTTTAGATTCATGGGGCCGCATCAAATATGTTTAAACATTAACTTTAAGTCTTTTTCCTGTTGTGTAATGGATATTTTGGTAGTTCTCTTTATAATTTGAGTTCATGTAAGTTTAAAAAAACATTTCAAAAGTTTTTCCTCCAGATAAACAATATTAGATTTTTTCCTGTCACATGTCAACATTTGCACTTATTCATATATTTTCCCTACCAACCTAATTACAGAGAACATCAGTCTGTCAAATTCACACTTTATTATGCTCACTTATTGGCCTACTGGCACATACAATAATTTTCAAATTAATGTACACCCTCGCAAAATAAGAAAACAACTTTAATTTACATGCCATATTTATTTGTCTGTAACATATCCCGATGTGCTGTTTAATTTTAAAACCTTTATCAACCAATAATGATCACCTGCTATCATCCTACACCACCATTCTCCACGTAATGCATATAAACCCTTCTTTGCTCACGTTTTTCTCTAATTATCATTAAGTAGCACTTAACAAAGAACATCTGTGGTCATGATAAAGGCAGGAGTACACAACTGGTCGACTGTTAATTATCATCATAATTTTGGCTTCCTGCAATTACATTACCAAGACTGACTGTGAGATTCAAGTTTAAAATGCATGATCTGCACATAGAAAACTGCTTGTAAAAAACAGTTCTTGTACATAGAATAACATCATGTCAACCTGGCAAACTCTTGATTTTAAATGTTTTATTACACTTAAAGTGATTTATGGTCATACACGTTATCTGAGCTGCAGCGCTGCAGTGACTGAGTGAGGAGACTAGAGGCTTCTGTGAGCTGACATCCACTGGAGCCTCCATGTGACGCATTTAGGGAACATCAGTAAATTGCAGTATCTATCAATAAGTGCATGTTCAACAACTGAGGCGTTTTAAGCACAGTTTTATGTGCACTTTGTCTCACTGTTTTCAGGCTGTGCGAACAGGTTCACTTCCATAACTCAAGGTAAACATTATAGATAATTGTTAAAGCAAACTTTGGAGGTAATTGCATACACGTCTACGTTTGGCAAATATCAGACATGAAAGCTGTAACCTACATTCCTGTAGCTGTAGTTACAGTGTGTAAGTTAAGCTGCAAGTAACTAATTCTAGTAAAACATTGCATTTTATATTTGTTCTGTAAATTTTATGGAATATTTCCCAACTTAGCGAGTGTTAGTAATAAATAGGTTCAGACAGTGTCATTAATGTTAGATAACTATGAGCTATAATGTTTGTTACAGCGGATTTATCATAACAGATTGATTGTCACAGTTTTGTTAGAAGTTGCTGTCTTAACTGTGTCCGTGTTTGCAGAGCAGTAGATAAAAATAAGCTCATTAAACTAAGTTGAAATCACACCACAGAATATTGTTACTGATTACTGTGGTTCAGTTGAGTGTGTGTTATTATGGTCCGTTGGCTGTACTGCTCTAAGTGTCTGTAGCATAGGCTTCATCGGCTATTTTTAGCAGATACTCTTCATTTCATTGCTGATGATGGGCATAAAAAAACATCTGTTGGAATGAATCTCTCTTGCTCGCTTTCAAAAAAAGAACTGAGGGCTAACCGTCATGGAATGTGCACCCACACAACACCACAGCGACAGAGGACCTGCATCACCTTCAGCTGCAGCATCCAGACACCAGGATCATCTTGTCTGGCATCACATGCTGATGCAGGTGGAAGGCTGGTGACAATCCAGGGAACGGTGACGAGGCTCACAGATTAGCGCTACACATTGTTTAAGTGGCAGCTTTATGGGGTTTCGCAGTCATGGGCTATTCTTGCACGATGGAGGTCATTACACCGTGAGGGATACTTATGTTTTGCTGAGTTTATTTAAGCTTCGACAGCAATCAAGTTCAGCAGCAGTGAGGTGTTCATGTGTGACAGTTTGGTCCCTGTTGATGTTGAGTCTTAATCCCCTCTTACAGTCCATGCCTTAATGGTGGTATTTTTGTTAACATAGTATTTTCTTTCATGTAGCCCATGTGGCCATAAAAGCTGTTTGGTCGTACCTGCTCT